AGATATAAGGACCATCACTCATGCATAGATTGAAGATGCTCTTGAGAGAGGCTGTTCATTGCTTTGGGATTTCACCAAACCAAGGCTAAATCCTATTCTACTCGAATTGCCTAGAAAACTAGTTGCTGAATTTATTTTTCTATGCATCTTTAGCTTGTCTCTTCACTTGCATACAAGGTGTTTGGTCCAATGTGTTAGAAATAACTTTGTAGTTAGAATTTCAAATTTTCATTAGTTTTACATTTCGGCTGATCAGACAACAGTAGACTGATTTATTACTAGTGTCATAATGAGTCACACATCAAGTTTTTGGCACCATTGCTGGGGACTTGTTGTATCAATATTAGGAACTAGCCACTGTTAATCTGATTTTCAATTTTGTGCATTATAGTTCAGATTAGTATGCATGAAACTCCATTGCTGATCTWGTTAGTTCTCTTTCCCATTGATGATCTACTTCATCTTCGATTGTTGATTTAGTCTTAGTAGTAGAGCTGCATTCTAGTTTGCATATTTCATAAAAATAGTGTGGGTCAAATCTGTATACATTAACTGTCATGGCTAAAATAAAAAAAAAACAAAAATCAGATCTGAGCACACTGAAAAAAAATGATTTCTGATCTTCATTGACGATTGTTGTTTTAGTCTCAGTAGTATAGTCTTGGATGTTTCAGAAAATAATGTTCTAGTTTCAGTAGTGGAGTTGTGTTTTCTTTTGTTCTGTATACTTCATAAAAATTGTGTGATTTAGATCTGCATACATTCACTATCATTGCTGAAATTAGAATGCAGATTTGAGCACACAAGAAAAAAATTTATGTCTGCTTTTCTAGTTTCAGTAGTGTAACTGCATTCTAGTCTTGCATATTCGATAAAAAGGGTGTGGTTCAGATCTGTATACATTAATTTTCATTGTTGAAATCAGAATTCAGAATTGAGCCACACACAAAAAATAAAAAAATAAAAATTTCATTGCTGATTTCTTTAACTGTTAGCTGATTTCAGTTCTGTACAAATCTGCATATAGTATTCTTCATTACTGATATTACTACTCTATTTTTTTTTTCTATTGCTGATTTGTTTGGTTTTGATTACTGTTTTAGTGCTGAGTTTAGCTGGTTTTTGGGTCTGTATAGCTCATAAAAACAGGGGAGTTCAGATCTGTACACAGTAGATTTCAATACTGAAATAAAAAATCAGATCTGAGCACACCAGAAAAAAAAAAGAGGGAGATTTTGTTCAGTAGTATAGTTGTATTACTTCTTTGTGTTCTATTTCATCTCAAAAGAAAAGAAAAAAAAAGAAAATTATCAATATATGGCCGAATGATGCATAGGCGGCTAGTACAGTTCTGATTGCATTAACTGTGATTTATARAATTCAGACCTGAACTTATTGCTATAATTGCTTGCATATTTTGTGGTTCAGATCTGATCACACAGCTTATCACTTTTGCAATCAGATCTGAACACTTAATGAAGCATTTTTGTTCTAACTTAGTGCTTTCAATTCAGAGTTTCAGATCTGAAATCAGACCTGTATTCACCATGATTTCAGATTTGAAACCCACATCAATTCGGAGATTTAGCAGGTCTTATGGGAAGCATGTTAGAACATACCAGATATACAGACCTGAAACTTTGCTACCATTCATAACCACTGATTTCGGATCTGTATACACCAATTCTCCTTGCTGACTTCTCATATCAGCCCTAATCACAGTAGATGGCAGCCATACAAGCTGCTGAAATTTAAGATTGCAGATCTGAATGTGTAAATGATTTATGCATGTACCCTCATAAATTTCAGATCTGAATGTGTAAAACCATGCATAGCATCTGTACTCAATAAGGTTAGTGGTGTAAACTCAGATTGCAGATCTGAACTCATTATAGTTGCTATAGCTTCTGCTCTTTTTGGTCTGCTTTTTCTTTTGAAAATAATGAGATTTCAGATCTGATTACCTTACTTATCACTTCTGCAATCAGATCTGAAGACAACTGTACTATTCTCAGTGGCTACCGAATTCAGATCTGATCTCAGTAGCAGTCACAGCTGTTCTAAGTATCAGTAGCTGCTGTTATATACTGCTGTTTTCAGTAGCTTCTGAGATTTCAGATCTGATCTCAATTTTGTGTAGAACTGATGTCTGAATTGCTATCTCACAATCCTATTTACACTAATTTCAGCTCTGTGTATTGACCTTCAATAGCATACAGTAGCCTTTCCATATGAAGCTCAGACCTGAACACAGCCACTGCTGATCCGCATGTGGCTGTCCTCAGTAGCTACTAAGATTTCAGATCTGATTTCAGATCTGTATATTACTGTTCTGAGTAGCTATTGAGATTTCAGGTCTCAGCAGTTCAAATCTGTGTAATCTCATCATTGATTTCAGCAATGTGAAGAGAAGGAATTTGTAAACTATTGTTCTACTCTCAGAGGTTACTGATTTCAGACCTGTTTACTAAGAATTTTTTTTTTTTTTTTTTTTTTTT